TGAGAATGGTGTATAATGTGTAGAATCAGTTAGGGAGATATTGTTTATATTACGTAATCTTGATTTTTTCCCTTGTTTATAATAGGTAGATTTACTATTTAAACACCTAATAGCTTAGGAGAATAATATGAGATACACTTCTCGTTCTTTCTCCCATGTAGTTTCATTTCTCACAGTTAGTAAACATAGTTATTTTTCTTAAATTACATGCATGTTATTATTTTTTTCCTCATCTGGGCCTTTCTTCACTGAAACCCCCACTTTAATTCAGATTTGTGCTTAAAGCCCAACAGACATTTGGCGTTTTTTGAAGTTTTTCACCTTTGGTGGCACTTTCTTAGTTCACTTTGGCAGTTTATTTATAGTGACGAGTTTTATGACATGTTGCATGCTGACCACCTTGCACTTTCATAGGACAAATGTCACGTGCAACACAAATAAAATAGTCATCATACTATTCCTGATAGACATGGCAATGATATCTATGACCCAAATACTTGCTAATGTATGTTTGGATAATATTAATTCACCAGAGACAACATAGGTTCACTTGCTTTTATGTACATGTTTATTAGGTATTATTGTTGATCATTAGTGGCATGCGAAAAGGGCCAGAACAAAAAGTTTAAACTTCTCCTCATCTGTAGTTTTTTCTATTCTTTAGAAATGTATATCAATATATTGTGTCATCTTCCAACATTTTTAGTCATCTAGGTGTCCAGTCTTTATAATTGCTTTTTCCGTAAAAGCAAAGTGAGATTTCCGAAGGAAAGACATGGATCCTCCATCTAATTAGTATATGTGGATGCTCTTTGTTAGAAGCAAAAGTAAACTATGTATAAGAAGATGAAGAAAAAAGATATATTCAGAGAAAAGTTCAATCTTTTATCTACTAAATGATACATAGTAATTCTCATTGCATAGAACATACTATATTCTGTGGTGAGGGCAAACTGAGAATACAGTTTTTCTATATCTTTTGTTTTCTCTTTTCCTGTGATGTCAAACTCAAAATAGGTTTATCATGCGATGTGTTTTTGATTCTTGATGACTCCGTATTTCATTCATTGTTGTTTCCTGAGTGGGGCAAGTGGACAAACACTTGAAGAATCTGCAAATAACTAGGTTTTATTGCTTTTGTATTTCAATGTCACCCAAATGGGTATATTCAGAATTCATTGATTGGGAATATCTGTGATGCAATTTGAAAGTTACTTAAGGTGCTCACAATTTGCCTTTCTTGTAGCCTGGTTCCTTTTTTAATTTTAACTGTTTTCATGTTTTTCGTCCCTAATCCATGTTACTTTCTGGCTCTAGGAATCTAGAGTTGGAATTGAGCACCATTTACATCGTGGACGTGCATTGGCAGCTTTTAATCAGCTGCTTTCAAATAGAGTTCAAAAGTTGAAGTCAGAAAGTTCACGTAGAGGGCAGCACGGGACTTCAGTGCAAGGACAAACAAACATCCAGTCAGACGTGCAGATGCTTCTTTCACCTATAACACAGAGCGAACAGTTGTTTCTTTCATCCGTAAGGATCACTATTACCAAACTGGCATTCATCTTTTTCTATTTGTATCAACCCTATATGTACTTCTTTTGTCCCTTTATAGTCATCTATTTGGAAATGTTATATCAGTTTTTAAAAAGGCGGGGCGTGAGACGGGGCGTTTCGCTTAATGCAGGGAAAGACGTAAGCCCAGAGACATGGGGCATAAGCCCATGGATCTTTAAATTTTTTAATTTATAAATTAAATAAAATAGCTTAATAACATTAAAAAATATGAAAAATAAATTAAAAGTTCAAGAAAAAATTAAAAGGATTAGAGAAGCCCATTGAAATTCTCTATAAGATAGGGGTAAGGTCTGCGTACACACTACCCTCCCCAGATCCCATTTATGGGATTAAACTGGGTTTGTTGTTACTGTTGTAGAGAAGCCCATTGAAAACAAAAATTCTAGTACACTTATATGAGTATAAACAATGCAGGGGTGTTAAAGTTATCATGAGACAAAAATAAACTACAATATCTTAACTTTCAAACAATTAAAAATCACAATTTCTTAAAAAATATTATAATACTACACATTTTACCTCCCTAAAGGTAAATAATCAGTACTATAACTTAAAAATAATACTCTTTCATGTATAAATACAAATTGATTTCAAATAGCATAGTAATACAAGTTTGATCATTTTGAGAGACAAAGAACTAAGACATGAATACAGATAGCGAAGTAATAAACTCGGGCTGTCTATTTATATAGGAAATGTTCAAATGATGTTCACCTTCACTATGTTCTCAATCATAGAATATTCAATACTATGGCTCATTATTTGAGTTACTCTAAATTAATCTTCATATATCTTTAGGTTCGTATATCAGTCATGTATGAAAGAATTTGATGGTCAACGGTGTAGGGATTTGACACATGATTTGTGTAGGGATTGCTGGGCGAACTCTAAGCCTTGAGCGTTAGGCGTGCTTAGGGCTACAGTCGGGCGCTTGGAGCGTAAGCCTTACAGAACTAAGTCCCACACGTGTGCCTTAGAGCGTTTTGCAAGTGCCTTGCCCAGGGGCGAGCCCCGGGCGAATGCCAAAAAGGCCTTTTAAAACACTGTTAGTATACAGGCAAAATCTCTCTTTTAACTACAACTCTTGAAGTGTCCTTTTGCTCTTTCAGCATCACAAATGATTGTAAAGTTTTAAGGAACCAATTGTCAAATGGAACGAATTTTGAGAAAAGCTCATGCGAATGACATCAAGATGCTTTACCTACTGCACCTCTGTCACATAGCATGTTAGTCAAACTACCTGATATTAACAGTTGGTGGTTTCATTTGAATTAAATCACCGAGTCAAATAGTTCCAGTTTGTGTATCTTCTGTTTTAGGTCTTAATTTTATTAGAGCTTCTTATAAAGTGTTCTATTTATGCTTGAAGTTTGTAAAACAGGAACAAGAATGTGGGGATTGGGGCCAGCAAAGTCTTATTTTAAGTTTGAAAATTGGTGGCTGCAAACAGAGGGTTTCAAAGAAAGGGTTAAAGATTGGTGGGGCTCTTTTTCTTGTGAAGGACGACCTGATTATATCCTTGCTTTTAAATTGAAAGCCCTGAAGGAGAAACTTAAAGAGTGGAGCCGATCTTTGGTGGGTAATTTGGAACTGCAGAGACAAAACATCCTTACACAACTAGCTGAATTGGAAGAGATACAAGAGCAAAGAATACTGAATGATGAAGAAGTACACCTAAGGGTTGTCCTATCTGTGGAGTTTGAGGAAAATGCTAAACATGAGGAGGTGGCTTGGAGGCAAAGATCCAGGGCACTATGGCTCAAGGAAGGAGATAGCAATACTAAGTTCTTCCATAGAACTGCAAATGCCCATAAAAGATACAACTATATTGATCAAATTGCAGCAGAAGGGGTTACTTTAAAAGATCCATCTGACATTAAAAGGGAGATAGTTTCCTCTTATCAAAAACTTTATGCAGAATCAGAGGAATGGAGACCACATGCTAGTTTCAGAGAATGTCCTATGATTAGTGCAGAGGAAAATCAGATGCTGCAAAATTCTTTTGAAGAACAGGAAATATGGGTAAGTGTGAAGGCTTGTGCAGGGGATAACGCCCCTGGTCCAGATGGATATTCTATGGCTTTCTTTATACATTGCTGGGAGGTGGTGAGGGTGGAAGTGGTTGCTACCATCCAGAATTTCCATGAACAAGTTTTCTTTGAAAAAAGTTTTAATGCTACTTTCATAGCATTAACTCCCAAGAAGATGGGTGCCAAGGAGTTAAGGATTTTAGACCTATTAGCCTGATAGGTAGTGTTTACAAAATCATTTCAAAACTTTTAACAGAGAGACTTAAAAAAGTGGTACATAAGGTGGTGGATGCCCAACAGATGGCCTTTATAAAAGGAAGACAGATAATGGATGCCATCCTTATAGCAAATGAATGTGTAGATGCAAGGATAAAGAGTAAGAAACCTGGTATATTATGCAAATTAGACATTGAAAAGGCTTATGACCATCTCAACTGGAAATTCCTTTGGGGGGTGCTTGAGAAACTAGGGTTTGGTGGCAGATGGATTAATTGGATCAGGTTTTGTACTAGCACAGTTAGATTTTCAATCTTGATAAATGGCTCACCGACTGGATTCTTTGCATCTGAGAGAGGTCTCAGACAGGGGGATCCCCTATCACCTTTCCTATTCATCCTAGCCATGGAGGGTTTAAATGATTTGATAAAAACAGCACAGACCAATCGTTGGATTAGGGGCTTTATTGTGAATCCCAGGGCTGCCTACAATCTGGAGATCTCTCATTTACAATATACTGATGATACTTTAGTTTTTTGTGATGCTGATAGAGATAACCTGAAAGTACTGAGAGTAATTTTCATTCTCTTTGAAGCCACTTCAGGATTACACATTAATTGGAGTAAAAGTTACATTTATCCGGTTAATGAAGTTAATGAGATCCACCATCTGGCTGCAATTTTAGGGGGTAAAGTAGGAGTATTGCCAACAATCTACTTAGGTATGCCACTGGGGGCGAGGAGTAAATCAAAAGGGATTTGGAATGGAGTGATTGAGAAGTGTGAAAAAAAGCTAGTAAATTGGAAGAACCAATATCTCTCTCTAGGTGGAAGATTGATTTTGATAAATAGTGTTCTTGATGCTTTACCTACCTATATGATGTCTCTGTTTCCGATTCCTGTCAGTGTTGTGAAGAAGCTGGATGCTATCAGAAGAAATTTCCTTTGGCAAGGGAATAGTGACACAAAAGAAAATGCACTTGGCAAAATGGAGTACTCTTACAACCAGTAAGAAGGAAGGTGGTCTGAAAATCAAGAATTTGAGAATCCAAAACCATAGCCTGATGATGAAATGACTATGGAGATTTGCTGCTGAAGAACAGTCCTTATGAAGGGATATTATCAAGATAAAATATGGGATGGATGGTAAATGGACTACTAAAGCTGTGAATAGCACCTATGGAGTCGGTTTGTGGAAATTCATAAGAAACTTATGGCCATGCTCATCAACAAGTCAAGTTTCAAAGTAGGAGGTGGTATGAAAACATCCTGTTGGGATGACAAATGGCTAGGGCAAAGGCCATTGAAGCAACTCTTTCCAGATATTTACAATCTGAATCAGCAACAGAGAGCATGCGTGAGAGAAGTATGGGGCGATCCAGGATGGAATCTTAGCTTCCGAAGACTATTGAATGACTGGGAGGTGGACAGGCTAACAGAGTTCTATAACACCCTAGAACAATTCAGGGGCTTTCAACCAGAGTGGATAGTATGTCTTGGAATAGGAACGCACAAGGAAATTTTTTTGTGAACTTAGCATATAAGGAGTTTAACCTTTCAAACAATCAGATTGATTGCTGGCCTTGGAAGATAATATGGAAAGTTAAAATCCCATTCAAAGGTAGCATGCTTCACATGGTTATTGGCAAAAGAGGCAGTTTTGACTCAAGACAATCTCATTAAGAGGGGTTTTCAGTTATGTTCCAGATATTATTTATGTGATGAAGAGGCCGAGACAATCAATCATCTTTTTTTACACTGTAGAATGACGGATCAATTATGGAAGATATTCATTAATTTGAGGGGAATCAGGTGGACCATGCCAAGGAGAATCCAGGAAGTCCTAGCTTGTTGGAACAGAGATGGTAACCTTTCAGGACACAAAGAGAGATGGAAGATTGTCCCAGCTTGCATTTGGTGGACAATCTGGAAAGAGAGAAACCAGAGATATTTTGAAGATAACAGAAGTTCCATTGAGAAGCTGAAGATGAATTGTTTAGTCCTATTTTATTTTTGGTGTAAACAGGAGTACTTACAAGAAGCTGAATTTATTTATGAGATTTTAGATTACTTATGATAGGTTAAGACTTAGGAACTCAGGCTTCAACTCTCCTTGTAACTATATAGGACTACACTGCTTTGTAATCTAAATTTATTATATATNGAATAGCATCCTTTAATAAATCCGGCCCTTGTTCCAATCACTTTAAGCAACCTTCCCCCAGGAGTTCTTCATTTCATTCAAATACTTATGACAATAATATTACTGAATCTTTAGCACGAGGATTGGCAGATGATTATTGCCAGAATGATTGGTTCAATCAAGCTAATCAAAAAAGTGATCAGTTCACAACCTGTGGTAGACAGCCATCTCGAGCTCTCATCCTCGTCCTGCAACATTTGGAAACAGCAAGTCTTCCGTCATCAGCTGATGGAGTTACGTGTGGCTCTTGGTTGTTAACTGGTAATGGTGATGGAGTTGAATTGAGGTCTCAGCAAAAATCTGCAAGCGAGCACTGGAATTTGGTGACAACATTTTGTCAGGCGCATCAAATTCCTGTGAGCACGAGATATCTTGCTATATTAGCAAGAGACAATGACTGGGTATGAGCTTGTTAAACATCATTGTTGAACTTATTAGTTTTCTTGGTATGAAAATTGTGTTCTTTTGTTTGCCAGGTTGGCTTTCTCTCAGAAGCCCAAATTGGAGGCTACCCCTTGGAGACAGTGATGCAAGTTGTAAGCTATCTATTCTCATCACATCTTCCCTTGATGAATCTTTGCTGCTACATATATCTCCTTTTAGTTTTATGATAGAAAAAGGAGAAGACTTGCTAACTCATGATTTTGTCTCACTTGCTTTATCTGATATGTGTCAGGCATCAAAGGAGTTTGGTGATGCACGTCTGAAAACCCACATACTAACACTTCTGAAGAGTATGCAATCAAGGAAGAAATTTAGCTCTTCTTCAAGTTCAGATACAGGAGAAAAGAAGAATGGGACATCATTTCCAGATGTAAATATGTATACACCGGCCGAACTATTTGGAATTATCGCCGAGTGCGAGAAGCAAGCAAGGCCTGGACAAGCTCTTCTCCTGCAAGCAAAGAATTTATGCTGGTCACTTTTGGCTGCAATTGCGTCCTGTTTTCCAGATGTCTCTCCGTTATCTTGCCTGACAGTTTGGCTAGAAATAACTGCAGCAAGGTTTCCATCATAATCCCTGTTTTTTTCCATTAATTAATAAAATTCTACCTTCTTCCATATACATGGACTGTTTTTCAAAGTAATTTCCTATTATATCCTTTACAGGGAAACATCAGCCATCAAAGTTAATAATGCTGCTTCCCAGATTGCAAACAATGTCGCGGCAGCTGTGGAAGCAACTAATTCCCTACCTGCATCTGCCAAAGCACATACAGTGCATTATAATCGCAAAATCCCAAAGCGTAGACGGCTCATCGAGCCTGTGTCAGTGCATTCCTTAGCTTTCACAATGCCTGATGCACACAATGCAGATGGAAATGTGAGAATTCAAGACATGACTGCTGAAGAGGAATGTGAAAAGCAAGTTGATCAGGACGAGAAAGTTTCAAATGACTCCGATGAAGTGGCTGGTTCTTTGTCTAGAATGGTTGCTGTGCTTTGTGAACAACATTTATTCCTTCCTTTGCTCAGGGCTTTTGAAATGTTTCTTCCTTCTTGTTCCCTCTTACCTTTTATCCGAGCTCTTCAGGTATGTTAAATCGTTGCTATCAATTATAGGTTACCTTTTTGAAATGAAGAGGCATTACTCAGAAACTTCTCAGTGCTGAAAATTCTCTTAGCTTCAGACTGACTGGCTGTTAAACATTTCATCGCTGTTCTTGCTGTCTTTCATTGTTTATTCACAGCTTTTCAAACTGCTATCCAGCTGATTGGTCACATGACATAATCGACTCTCTATGTTAATGTTATGTCTTTAGTAGTCTACTCTTGTCCCCTCATGGTCTTTCATTTTACATGGTGCAACATTCACTTGCCTCATTATGACAAAGTTCCGGCCTCTGGGGAAGAGGCTCAAGTTAGTTCTTTGAATTGCAACGCTTCAGCTAATACTCATCAATAATAGTGTTTCTAGATGTATATGAAGGATCGTTTTCACTGTTTGAACAAAAACATTATGTAACCAATACTTATAAGCTAATGACCTATATATTCAGTAGCATATTTTCTTTGGGTTTTGGGGTTGACTTGTTATGTATTAATTGTCAATTCATGTTGTACTCATTGCTTGCTTGTGCCTGCAACAAAGTTTGCCATATTGGTCAAGTTATCCCTGATTGTTGTAGATATGGTTACTCAACGGGCCTTCTCTTAGTTCCCCTTAGTTTGTGCAATTTTGGTGCTATAACACTGTGTAGTGAGAATCTCTCGTAGTCTACCATCTCCTTTTTCTTTAAGGCTTATAATGCTTCTTTGAAAGTTGACACTGTATCCTTATTATTTCTCCATGCTGATCTGCTAACTGGCATGGGCTTGGAGGGGGAGAGATTTTAGGACTACATGGCATGAATAGTTCATTGGGTAGTTTCTCATGTATTGTATATGTAGTCTTAACTGACAAAAAATTACTAATACTGCAAGATATAGGACATACTAAACCCAAAGAACCTCTTCTTCTCCTTGACCAGTAACTAGCAACGAGGAACACTCTTTTGTTTCTTTGAAGTTGCGAAACAAGCGAAACCTTCTCTGACTGACCTGAAAGCTGTTAAGTCCTCATCTTCTTTTTTCAATTTCTACCTTTTTATGCTGAGAGAAATCTGTATGCCATATTTGTCAAGCAGAGATCAAGGGTTTTGTTTTTTAGTATTATATAAAGGATTCCCTTTATTCTTTAAAGTTATTATCTATTGTAACTCCAGATAATCCCTTTAGGAAAAAGACGAAAACTAAATATTGGGACACAATCTCATTGGTGTCTGGCAGGCATCTAAATAATTAACAGTACTAAATCAGAATAAAAGTGATGCTGTTTCCTTGAGTGTATAACATTCTGATTGGTTTCTAGCAGACATCTAAATAAACAATAATACTAAATCAGAATGAAATGAAGTTGTTCCTAGCTTGTGTAACATTTCGTGTGACTGAGTGTTCTCGTTTTATAGGACACATGTCGTGAATATAACAACAGTTGTCTAATTCCATATATCACAAATTTTGCTGTTTCGTTTCCAGGCATTTTCTCAAATGCGCCTTTCTGAAGCTTCAGCTCATCTCGGATCCTTTTCTGCTAGAATTAAGGAAGAACCTCACGTACCCACACAAGTTGGAAAAGAAGGGAAAATTGGTAGTTTATGGATAAGTTCTACTGCTGTGAAAGCTGCTGATGCTATGCTCTCAAGATGTGCTTCACCTTATGAAAAAAGATGCTTATTACACCTCCTTGCTGCCACTGATTTTGGTGATGGAGGTTCTGCTGCAACATATTATCAACGGCTCTACTGGAAAGTAAATTTGGCGGAACCTTCTCTTCGCAAAAATGATGGCCTACATCTTGGGAACGAGCCACTAGATGATGCTTCACTTTTGACAGCATTAGAGGAACATGGACATTGGGAACAGGCACGCAATTGGGCTAAGCATTTAGAGGCCAGTGGTGGATCTTGGAAATCTGCAACGCACCATGTTACTGAAACACAGGTATTCCTTTTACTATTTAGGACTCTTCTTCCTCATGTCAGTTTTTATCATTCAGACATCATTTTTTTAGAGCTGTNTCAGTTTTTATCATTCAGACATCGTTTTTTTAGAGCTGTTGCTTTTATATGAAGTGTGAATTAGGAATTTCTTTATGGTTGAGCTTTCTTTTTTAAGAGTCATTCTTTACTTTCGCAATACAAAATTAGCTAGGCATCTTGCTGGAAATCTTTTTTCTGTTTCTTTCTAGATCAGGATCTCAGCTGATAGCAGCTTTGGGTGTCATTTTGTCTAATTTTCTCTTCTGAGTTACGTCGGTGAACTATATAGGCTTTCAATTCATAGATTGTACCAATAAAAAAAGTTCATATTTGAGTTATCACTTACCTTTCAGGATTAGTAACTCAACGTGTCAATTTATTTTCATATTTCTTGCCAAATAGCGTTCTACAGAAGATCAAATCTTAGCGCTTTGCTATTTCAAGTAACAAAGAACAGTTACGTGAATCAAATGTACATTGGTCATACTTCTCGCATTCTTCCCTCTAGAATCAACCGATTGCTGAACTTTTTATGAAACGGGTGTTGTAACTTGTAGCATTGCTTTCTTAATGTGGTTTGACCAGTCATTTTGTCCCTGAGTTATCCATCTGAAAACATCCAGGGTTTATGGAAGCATTGGTCCCACTGTTAAAGCGAGGACTGTAAAGCTGGACTGTACCATCTAACTTAAAGATCCTCGATAACATAACTCCTCTAGCTTGTTATAACAATAGAAGAGATCAAGATTGCTTGTATTTGCCAACATAGTTAGTAAATTGCATTGCGCCTTCTCTTAAATGTTATGCCATTTTATCTACAAATCACTTGAAGAGTGGACAGGGAGTTAATTCACTAAGAACAATGAGAGAAGGGAAATGAAAGCCTGATATGCTGGTATAGATTTAAGAAGTTGACACTTGCTGAAAAGATTAATTTTATGTAGTACTTGATTATTTCTTTTACTGGCTGGAGTTCATTCAGGGGTTGTTTGGTTTTCTGTATTAGGATAAAATAATCTCAGCATAAAATTCTGCAAAACTAATATGATGTTCAGTTTTTAGCATTATTTCTACATTACTAATGCAAACTGTGCATACGTAAAATGACTTTGGGTTTCAGGTATAAACTCTACATATATGCCCAACCCTCCTTTCAATTTTGTGGTATTCAATTTCTATACAACTTTCACTTCTTTCAAGAATTAACATATATTAGCTATTCAGCTTTTAAACTTTGTGTTGTCTTTGTCAACTCACTTTTCAACCATTATTTTAGCATTATTCTTTCACCATCACTGATATAATATATAAGTCAAACTCATATCTTAAAATTCTGACCTAATCAAATACCGAAATATAAATGAAATTGAGGGAGTGAAAATTTATTTTCTGATATAAAACTCTGTATTACTAATATCAGCATAACATATGCAACAATCTATGTATTATTTTATGCAGGACATAATGTGGATTAAGAATGTGTGTACTAATAATACCTGGATAAGCTCTACCATATGATTGTGGACTGTGGAGTATTATGAATGAGAAGACTTTAGCCGTTGTAATATAGGGTGGAAGGCATGGGATGTTGCCCCGTTAGCTTACGTGGGTTTATGGAAGGAGGGTAATAGGAGAGCGTTTGAAGAGATAGAAAATGATTTTGTAAATTTAAGGAATGTCCTTCTATGTTTAGTCACTTTTTGGTATATACCCATGAGGTCCTCGCTTGTATAGATGGTTGGGTGTCTTTTGCAGAGAATCATATTTTTGTGTAGATTATCTTACTTTTGTAAATACGACTTGTATAGATTTCCATTAATTAATAAATTATTTATCTTACCCAAAAATAAAAATACCTGGATAGAGCATGTGAAGACAAAAATACCTCAAAGGCAGGCCATCCTCGCAACAATCCTTGTAGTATTGTTTACCATCCTTGTATTATTATTCACCTAATAACAATCTCTCTATTGTAATCCCTGCATAATTAGTCCATGATCCTAACTACCCCTTGATGTCCTATTGCATAGGAACTGATTCTTCCCTTCTCTAATACGGTGTGGGGGGCAGGTGTTGGTTTGGCTGCAACATAAGGGATAAGTCACCTCACACTTTGTGCAATCCATGAATGGATATAGGAATTCAATTTTTAAGTGTTTTTGCTATTGAGTCAGAGATAGTTTACAAGTACTGATACTCAATAGTCTTAAATAGTGTCATTTATCAAATAAAATGTGTCACATAGTAGCAGAAGCAGATTTTTCTGTCGTACTAGATTGATTCAAGATGAAAGGAGCGATTTCCAGCTAAGAAGGATATTGCCAATCCTATGCTTGCTTCTCTTGACTGGGCAGGAATATAGTAAAGCCTACTGATTTGATTTCTCAATTAACTGATAAAGAAGAGATGTATGCATTCAGATGTGTGGAATTTTTGAAAAATTTAACCTAGTGAAATGTGTTATAATAAGTTTTTGACGCTTTTAATTGTGGGGAAAATAAGTGGAAAAGGGACATGACTACTCACAGGAATCAATCCTAAAATGCCTTGGCATTTGCAGAGAAGGGTGCATCTCCCCATTAGCCATTTCCTTGTTAATTTAAGCATAACAAATTCTTGTTTCTAGACTTCAAAGGTCTCCTATACAAACTAGGAAGAAGCATCAAACTCTATTTTCCAAAGTCCTAGTTGACGTAGAAAGTCGAATGAGACTTTTGTTAAAGATATTCATAATGGCATTAACATATGGAAGAACTGCCAACAGAAAAATATGACTTTATGAAAACTTAAAACACTTGTATCAAATGCTTCTAAAAAAAACACTTTTATCAAATATTTGTTTGATCATTGTTCAGTATGCTTCTCAAAGCCAGGCTAAGTCAACATCTTTGGGGTGGAGGGCAATTAGAAAAGCACTATCTCGACTGTGAAGATCACTTATTTGTTATAAGCTGAATTGTTTTTGTCTTATCAGTTCTGGTGTAAAGAGAACTACATAGATGACGCAGAATCACTTGTAGATTTTTTTGATTCCTTGTAAGATACAAGGTCCCTGTAATCTGTACATATTTTGATTGCCAGTACCAACTTGGTGGTGATGAATACAATGTTACCCGACCCAAAAAAAGATCACTTATTCCTTATTTTAACAAACTATGATTAAGCCCTAATGTTAAATGCAAATTTTCTTTATCACATGTGGAACTTGGAAGTTAAAATTGCTGCTGATACCACATAAATGCAATTGTAATACTAGAATGCTGGATCAACCGCTTAAACAGGAAAGAAGACTCGTAAAGCACTAATCAGTCAAATTCTTAGAGAAATATATTGAACCTGTGTATGAGATCATATTGTTCCAGAATTTCTACTTTCCGAATATCTCTTTTGCCCAATGTTCTTAATTTCCATGGCCTTCAACGTTGATATTAAGATATTTGAACTATAATCTATTTGGAGATAGTGTTGATCTCCATCTAGACAGTTGTCATGTGATCTATGCTATCTTGGACGTAATTGTTTGTTCCTTTGGTGTGTCCTTTTTTTGTTTGTGATTTATGTTATGTTATGCATTTACCTATCTTGCAATCTGTTGTTCTCTGTTAGAATAGCTATGTGAATATATATGTAATTAGTTCTAGTCCCGTATGAAATAAAAGTAGGTTATATATTATGTGTACTTATAAATAGGGTTCATTGTATTACAATTAATATCAATAATATATTTTTCTCCGGTGCATTCTCACTTTCTCCTCATCTAAAGATTTAACCATCTTGCTATTCTCCTTTATTTTTTTGCATACTTCTTTTCATTGTAATCGACTCATGACTGCAAATTTTTGATCAATCTGATCCTCTTACTCTCTCCTCTCTGTGTTTTTCTTTCATGTATGAAGGCTGAGTCCATGGTTGCAGAGTGGAAGGAGTTCCTTTGGGATGTTCCAGAAGAAAGGGTTGCTTTATGGGGTCACTGCCAGACTCTCTTTCTTAGATATTCCTTCCCACCATTACAGGTACTTTAGTTACATTATGAAATAGATGTGACGTCAGCCTACTCTGCTGCTCATTTTACTTTCAAACATGGAAATTTTGTTCGTTATTTCTCTTGCTGTTAGTTGAGGATGGGTTGGGGAGGAGGGGAAGTTTAATGCAGAATTGGATTGTCTGGATGCCTTTTCATCTGATGATTGCTTTTATGACTTGTTTTATTTACTTATCTCAGTTGCTACCCTTTTCTGTAGGCAGGATTATTTTTCCTCAAGCATGCAGAGGCAGCGGAAAAAGATCTCCCGGCTAGAGAGCTTCATGAACTATTGTTGCTTTCCCTGCAGTGGTTGAGTGGGACGATTACTCAATGCAACCCGTAAGTGTTTTACTGAGGTCTCCTATTTTACGTATTCACTTTTAATAATTCTTGATATGACTCTTGGATAAATGTATCAGAGTTTGTCCCTTGAATCTTTTGAGAGAAATTGAAACTAGAGCATGGCTACTGGCGGTTGAATCAGAGACTCAAGTGAAAAGCGAAGGAGAGTTTACCCTTTCTAGTCGTGAACCTGCAAGTGGCAAGGGCTCAAGCATTATTGACCGAACTGCAAGCATTATTACTAAAATGGATAACCACACTAATTCAGTGAGAATCAAGTCTGGGGAGAGGAATGATACAAAGGAAAGTAACCAGTCACATCTCAAGACCACTCAGATGTCAGATTCTAGCTCTTCAGTTGCCATATTGGGCGGTGCAAAAGTGAAAAGGAGAGCCAAAGGTNCTGCCATATTTGGCGGTGCAAAAGTGAAAAGGAGAGCCAAAGGCTTTGTACCCTCAAGAAAGTCTTTAGCTGATCCAATGGACAGAAGTAACGAGCCTGAAACTAGCTCCATTAGTTTTAATATAAAGGAGGATTCACAGATACCAGATGAAAACCTTAAAATAGAAGCAACTTTCTCGAAGTGGGAGGAAAGAGTTAGACCTGCGGAGCTAGAACGAGCTGTTCTTTCACTGCTGGAATTTGGACAAATTGCGGCTTCCCGACAGCTTCAACATAAATTATCTCCAGGCTGCATACCATCTGAATTCAAACTTGTGGATGCTGCCCTAAAGCTTGCTGCAATTGCCACCCCAAACAACAAAGTATCGATATTGGTGCTCGATGGTGAACTTCGTTCTGTTATGCAGTCATACCATCTTTTCCCTAATCAACACGTGTTTGATGCTCTCCAGGTAGTCAGTTGGTTTTATCTCCTATTTTTCTTTTGGTCTAGCCCTCGTTAGGTTGACACAAATATGTTTGACTGTCCTTCATATCCATCTCTCCTGAATCATTTCTGCATTTACTGTTCTGACTATTATCCGGTACTTCGGCATTTAGTTTCCTGTGTTAGCTTTCGGACTATTGCTCTGAAGTTCCAGAGCTGGAAGTGCATTTATTTCCAATGAGAGAACTGGAGGGCTCAGTGGATGGAGGCGTAAGGAGGTGGGTGGAGGGAGAAAAGGGAAAAGAGGAGGATAGAGGAAGATCATGTGGTCGTCAACTTTATATCTTCTTACAATTAGTAACGTTAAATAAGACATTCTGTCAACTGGTGCTCTACCAACATGAAAGATGTCTAGACTTGGCTTGTGTTGCTATTTATGATCAAGATTCTTCCACTTTGACACTTCCATTAGCTTTCATCTTTTGATTTGTCTCTTATATCCTTGATTCTTTGCAAGAAAAGAATGAAAAGAATTAATATCTTGTTTAACTTCAGGTACTGGAGAGTTTAGCAATACTCCTAACTGAAGGTAGGGGACGCGGCCTTTGTTGGCGAATAATATCAGTTGTGAAGACTGCAAATGCGTTGGGTATTCCATTTTCAGAAGCATTTGAAAAGCATCCTATTGAACTCTTACAATTGCTATCTCTAAAAGCGCAAGACTCTTTTGAAGAAGCAAAGCTCTTAGTTCAATCACATTATATGCCTGCAGCTAGTATTGCTCAAATTCTTGCTGAGTCGTTTTTGAAGGTACTTTCTCTTTTGAACTTGATTCCTCTGGGAGTATGGGCACTGATTCCGCCAGAATATTATTATGACATCAAATTTGAGCTTTTGTAGAAATTTGCTTAGTTCTTTTACGACTTGATCTAGTAACAAAACACAAAGTACCAAAGTTGTGTCTATGTAAAAAGTATGCTGTTCAGTTTGTCTATGATGTTCTCTTTATTTATAAATTTTATATCATCACAGGGTTTGCTAGCAGCACATCGTGGAGGTTACATGGAATCTCAAAAAGAGGAGGGACCTGCTCCTTTATTGTGGAGATTTTCTGATTTCTTGAAGTGGGCTGAGCTTTGCCCCTCTGAACCAGAAATTGGCCATGCTTTACTGCGTTTAGTTGCCACTTGTCAAGGAATACCACATGCCTGTGAAGTAAGTGTATTGTCCTTTAGGTCTTCACCAATGAAAAACCTGTTCTGTAAATCATGGACTTACTGAGTTAGTGTGCATGTTCAATAAAAAAGTGGTAACGCTATGTGGGAGCTTTTGCTCTTTGGTTTTTAATTATTACGCCCTAATTGAAGTCACGTCCTCTCTTTGCAAAATTTGTTCAGGTTGAGCTTCTCATTTTGTCCCACCACTTCTACAAGTCCTCGGCATGCCTTGATGGAGTTGATGTTCTTGTAGATCTTGCATTCAAAAAGGTGGAGGCTTATGTATCTGAGGGTGATTTTCCATGTTTAGCTCGCCTGATAACTGGAGTGGGGAACTTCCATGCACTTAATTTCATTCTTGGTATCCTTATTGAAAATGGTCAGCTCGATCTTCTTCTTCAGAAGTTTTCAGCTGCTATCGATGCCAACGCTGGCACTGCCGAGGCAGTAAGAGGATTCAGAATGGCTGTTCTCACATTACTCAAGCAATTTAATCCCAATGATCTTGATGCGTTTGCCATCGTTAGTACTTTTTCATTTTCATGTCAAATAGATGCTTCATCCTCCCACTTTAACCCGTTCTGCTTTTTCTCCCGAAAACTGTTTTCATTTCCTCAAAGCAGAAATATATGCATCTTTTAGAGAGTAAATAACGTGCATCTCTCTATTTCCCTGTAGGTTTATAGCCATTTTGATATGAAGCATGAGACGGCTTCTCTTTTGGAGTCACGAGCAGAGCAATCAAGTAAGGAGTGGTCCCTCCGATCTGACAAGGATCAGACTGATGAGCTCTTGGCTTCCATGCGGTACTTCATTGAAGCTGCTGAAGTTTACTCATCAATTGATGCTGGCAACAAAACACGCCAAGCTTGTGCACAGGCATCACTTCTCTCTCTGCAGATTCGGATGCCAGACTTACACTTTCTCAATCTGTCTGAAACTAATGCAAGGCGGGCACTGGTCGAACAATCCCGTTTCCAAGAAGCACTAATTGTTGCTGAAGCTTATGGCCTTAACCAGCCAGGTGAATGGGCCCTAGTACTTTGGAATCAAATGCTCAGACCAGAGCTCGTTGAACAGTTTGTGGCTGAATTTGTTGCTGTGCTCCCCCTTCAACCCTCGATGCTTCTCGAACTTGCTAGATTTTATAGGGCTGAAGTGGCTGCAAGAGGAGATCAATCCCAGTTTTCCGTGTGGTTGACAGGGGGAGGGCTCCCAGCTGAATGGGCAAAGTATCTCGGGAGATCATTTAGATGTTTGTTGAGAAGGACTAGGGACTTGAGGTTGCGATACCAACTGGCTACCATCGCAACTGGTTTTGTCGATGTGGTTGATGCATGCAATAGAGCATTTGATAAAATCCCTGAAAATGCTGGACCTCTTGTCCTGAGGAAAGGTCATGGTGGAGGTTACCTTCCACTGATGTAAGCCTCGAACATGTACTATATCAGTTTTGAATTTTTGTCCTCCAAGTTTAGCTTTAGTAGGAAGCAGCATAAATTCATGAAGACACAAAATAGGTGGTGTAGGTCTGATGAGTTGATGATCTGCAATTTTTGGCATCATTTTATTTGTTCATTTACCCATATTCTTTCCAACTGAACTGAGGCCGGGTGAACAGAGTGCAGTTTTGTTGTTTAAGGAATGTATATTAGAGTACATGTATATTGTTGTACAATATTCTTTTGTGGATATGCAATGTAAGGGTGGAATTTCTTTATTTTGTGCTCTCCTTCTAGTTTATTTGACCTAGCATAAGCAAGAGTTCAATTTACAGCAAGAATTTACGACTACTAAACCGTTAAGGGAGAAAAAGTATATTTGTATATTCACTTGCACATGCACATGCACATATATAAACATATGAGAAAAAATTATTCATGTGACTTCTTTTTGGGTTCTAAATGGAGGATTGAGAGGATCCACACTAGCCCACCCAAATCTTAGCAAATG